TCTTCAGGAGGCGGGCTCTTCAGGAGGCGGGCTCTTCAGGAGGCGGGACCTTCAGGAGGCGGGACCTTCAGGAGGCGGGACCTTCAGGAGGCGGGACCTTCAGGAGGTGGGCTCTTCAGGAGGTGGACTCTTCAGGAGGTGGGCTCTTCTTCAGGAGGTAGACTCTTCAGGAGTGAGCTCTTTAGGAGTGAGCTCTTAAGGAGGTCCTTAGGTCACTGCAGAAGTCTGAGCCTGAATCCCTCTCTGGGTTTCTGTCTCATCATCTGATTCTGAACCCTCTCTGGGTTCTGTCTCACAAGCCTCCTCCCTCTTACCCCATGAGCTTCTAAGCAGAGCAGAGATGCTGCAACTACTGTGTGTGCCCTTGAACTCCCAGAGCTGGATTATATGAACCCCTTCTCTTTACTAAGTTGCCCTGACTTAGACCTTTCATTACAGCAATAGAAAATGGACAGAGGTAGACTACCAAGGAAGGCAGCTTTTGACAAGCCAAGACAATGTTAAGTTTTTGGAATACTGGGGTGAGGCTAAGACTGAATGCAAATGTAGGGTAGGAGGCCCTGGCCTTGATCCTGTGGCTTTCAGGGAATGGAAGAGGCTTGTCCACAGTAAAGAAATGATGGCTAGCTGCCAAGAGAACAGACCAGCAAGGAAGGCCAGGAGGGGCTTTCTTCTCTTCCTGTTGTGGGACAGGGATTTCCTTCATGACTGACACAGACTGGGCCTTCAAGTGGTGTTTATGTCCACAGCTCCTTGGCAAGAACTATGTTCTGAGAGGAGAATGAGGTTTCTAGCCTGGGTTACAGTGAATTACCAAACCTCCATCAGCTCTTTCTTGTTTGGAGAAGGCTGGGCAGGAGAGAGTGATGCCTTCGGGGCACAGAGAACAAAGCCAAGGTTTGGAAGAGGAAGAGGGAGCCTGGCCAGGTGCAGCAGGGGCACCCAGGCCACTCACCCACACACCTGGCGCCTGTCGCAGTGTCTCTGGTGCCGGTCTCCGGACTTGGACAAGCAGAGCTCCACTCATGGAAGTGACTGAGGCCAGCGCTGTGGCTCAGGAGCATGGGCGATGACGCGGCTTTCATTTGCAGCTTCCTACTTGCTATAGCCTCCTCCTTCTCCCAAGTGTGGGACAGAGAGTGAGGGACAGCCAGACCCTGGAGGGGTCCCGGGGGATGTGTACTTACATTTCTTCTGTAGAACGCTCTGTCTGGCCTTGATGAATGCCAGGATGTCGGAGTCGATCTGGCTGTCACCAGTGAGAGGTATGGATGACACTGGCCTTTCAGGGATACTGAGGACAAACACATGTCACAGTGTCACAGGTCACTAAACCTTGAACCCAGATGCTGCCTTTCCAAAGTCATTTTCTACCTTACCTGATTTTTACTTTTTTAAAGATTAAAGAGAGAGAGAGGGAGAGAGAGTATGTGTATGTGTGTGTGTGTGTGTGTGTGTGTGTGTGAGAGAGAGAGAGAGAGAGAGAGAGAGAGAGAGAGTGTAGTAAGAGTCTAACTTGTTCTCTTCTTTTTACTGTGGGGTTCTGGGGAGCTATCTCAGGCCATCAGCTTTGTGTGGTGCTACATTTCTGCTCTGTAGAATCCAAAGGTGGAACCCAGCCCCTAAAGTGATGGAGACAGAGCCTTTGGGAGGTGATGAGGTAATGAGGTAAGCCCCTCAAGACTGGCCTTAGTGATTTTACAAAAGAAACACGAGCGCTTTTACCCACTGAGACTGCTTTTCTGTTCTGGGGCACCTGGTTTTCGTTTGACTGCCCAGCTTTCCACTTCCTTTCTGAAAGCCTCCCCGGTTCTCTCATGGTGCCACGGATCCCTCTTCTCAGCACTCCCAGAACAGAATTCAAACCCTGCCCCATGACTTCCTGGGTCCCAAGTGCCCTGACCCTGGTTCACTGCCCAACTTTCTTTTTCTGCTTCAATAAACGGAATCTTTCTGGTTCTGGGGCCTCTGGGAAGCTCTAGCAGCTTCCTCTCCCTGCTGCTGCCTTGGACACACCTTTCCACAGCTGAATAATGCTTTCTCCAGCCTGTCACCTTCACGCTTCTTATTCTCTCATCCCAGTCTTACTCAAACTAGCCACTTTACCCCACTTCTCCTTTGGCACTCAAGTTGACATCTTGAGGATGTCTCCCCTGCACCGCTGACAAGGTGTACCTATTTGCCCCCAAGGCAGAGATGGCTATTTGCTATCTCTTTCAGATCAGAACCATATTTAGCTAAAGTGACACGATTAATAAACTACACTTCCCAGAATCCTTTGCAGCCATGTGTCCAATGAAATTTGTAAGCGGAAGAGTTGCATGAGATTTCTAGAAATTCTCCTGATAAAGGGAGGGATACTGGCTCCCCTACCTGCCTTTCTTCCATCTGGCTTAGAGAACTCCCTTGACTTTGCCAGTCTCATGCCTAGGACTCCACAAAGTGAATGGCATTTTTAGACAGTGAGGTCTTGTTCTTTTTAGACAGATGGGCTTGTTCTTGGTCACTGTGATGGGGTGAGTACCCCATCTGCAGCCTGGCGGACACTCAGGAACAACGTGGTGGGGCTGGGAGCCACAGTGGGAGATGGTGAGGTCCAAGGGTGGAGGGTGGACCCAGCCTGAGGCAGCTCTGGGAGAAGGGCTCGGATAGGCTAGGGTTCTAGGCTTGTGGTTCCAACAGCCCTTGGTGTCAAGAGCCTCTTAAAGCTGTTACCCTAATCAGTGCTCAACCTCCTGGGGAGGCTACTGAGCTCTCTTTAGTAGTGGACAGAGGGCTCTGGCAGAACTGCTCTAACCGGCTCTTTCTTTTCTTTCTTTTATGTTCTCTCTTTTTTCCTTCCTTCTTTGCTTTCGTTTTTGGGCAAATTCCTACTATATAGATGAGGCAGGCTTTGAACTCAGAAAGATCCACCTACATCTGTCCCTCAAATGCTGGGATTAAAGGTGTATGCCACCACCCCTGGTTCATCTTAAACATTCACAGGAGATGGGAACTACTCTGACCAGCCCCAGAACTTTGGGGGGGGGGAATGCCTCCTGTTTTGAGAGTCAGAATGCAAGAGAAGATTGGGTGTGGGGCGGGGCTTTTCATGTACGGGGCAGAGGTCAGCCCCAGGTTCTGCCTACATAAGCTGGACAAGGGGCCCCTTAGGGGAAAAGGTACTAACCTGTCTTGCTGCTGGGCCCTGCTGCCACCGGACTCTTGGCTGGGCTGACTGGGGCAGGGTGAGGGGAGAATTCTTCTGGCATTCTTATCACTGAAAAAAACAAACCCCCAAGAGCCAGAAGTCATGGGGAGTGCACAGCAGAGAGACTCCAGGCTAAAGTTTAGGCTTTTGAGAACCAAGTGTGTCCTCTCCAGACTCCTATGTTAAAGCCCTAATTCCCAGAGTCATAACATTTGGAAGTGGTAAACAGATAAATGGCTAAATAGAGAACAGATACATTTTGGTAAACAGGTAACTAGATGGTGACAAGGTAGATGAGCCCTTGTGGGTGGAGTTCTCACAATGGGACTAGTGCTCTTGTGAGAGGAAGACAGGCTAGAACACTCTGTCTGGACACGGCAAGACGGGGGTGTCTAAACACCAGGAAGGGAGCCCACAGCAAGAGCTACATTTCTGCGCTGTAGAATCCAAAGGTGGAACCCAGCCCCTAAAGCGATGAAGACAGAGCCTTTGGGAGGTGATGAGGTAATGAGGTAAACCCCTCAAGACTGGCCTTAGTGATTTTACAAAAGAAACACGAGTGCTTCCCGACCCTGCCCACTGTGTGTGTGTGGTGTGTGTGTGTGTGTGGGGGGGGGGGGGGGACGCAGGGCCCTTACCAGACGTCAAGCATGGCAGTGCCATCTTCAGCTTCCCAGCCTCCAGAACTGTGACAGGAATACAGAAAAACAAATGAGTGTGGAAAGCAGTGCGGTGCAAGACCTTGGGTGTGTTCCCCAATACCAGAAAAACCAGCCACCAGCCAACCAATGAGCCTCCCTGACTCTTTCAGTTTGTAACAGGAACACGAGAAGACAGTGCTAACAATCTGACATCCCTGTCCCCCACCCCATCTTGGATGGTTAAATGGTTGTTATTATTATGTATATATTAATTAAATGCAGGAAATTATTATTGTGGAAGCTATTCTCCAAATAAAAGACACAGAGACCTGTTAGATTTATAATAAGCCTTAAAGCACTACAGCTGGGCAGATATCAAACCTCTAACTTATCTTGTCTGCCTCTCAGCCCAAATCCCCACTAATACTTGCACAGGTCCTAGTTGGGCTGTTTCTGCTCCATCAGGCCAGTCCTCAGAACACGCTGCTCTTGGCCACGTGCTCCTGGTCCATGTCAGCCTGTTCTCCTCTCCATCTCCTTCCTCCTCCTCCTCTTCTCCCGATGGTCCTTCTGAGTCCCCAAGCCCAGAAACCTTAGCTCTGCCTACCTCTCTTCTGCCCAGCCCAGGCTGTCAGCAACTTTATTATCCAATCAGGGATAATTGGGGAGAATTAGTTCAACAGTCATGACAATGTCGATAGCAGGGCGTAATCAGATCTCAGGGCACTGAAATAAGCATTTGAAAATACAGTGCACGAGGCCCTCCTCCCACACATGGCGATTTTCATTGTCGGAGCAAAGCATTGCTGGTGGAAAGACGATGGACAGCAGGCCATGACTGCAAAGATCACAACTGTCCATTATGTATGGTGCTCTGCAGATGCCATGCTCCTTTGCCGGCAGTGAAGGGGCGGAGACACAGCTCCATGCTGTCACCCTCAGCAGTCTGAGGCATTCCATTAGACCTTTGGGGGCATCAACTCAGAAAAAAAATTCAGGACTAGTCAGTATATGGAGCAGAGCTGGGGGTTAATAGATATATTGAAGAAAGACAGGCAACAGGAGGTTAAGTGTACACCCAAGGTGAGGTGTGGGCTGCCAAAGGGGAGCCTCAGAAAGCAAGACACACCATCTGTGGGTGCTGGCTCCTCAAGGGAGAAGCACAGCTGACTGTTTCAGCAGTAGCAGTTTCTACCTTTTATTGGCTCTCAGAGACCCCTCCCCCCTTTCCCCTTCGTTCTCTTCTGAGAAGTGCAATTATGGGCTGGCTCCAGAGGAGATAAGGTGACACCAGGGTCACTAGGCCTGCACAAGGGGTTTAGGACATGTCTTTTCCCTGTTTCTGTGAGGGTCCTAAAACAGCAGGCTTATAGCTGGGAGGGGAGAGAGGCCTTAAGCGGTTGTCAGCTGTGCTGGAGTCCTTGCCTGTCTGGAGGCAGGACACAGCAAATGGATTCTGGGTGAGGGCCCCACTCCTCTGTCATGTCCCTAAAGTCTTCTGTTTTTCTATCTTGCCTCGATTAGTCCCTGTTGTGATCCGGACAGGAGGTGTCCCTCCCAGAGGCACTGGTGTTAATGGCTGCCAGCTTTGGGGAAGAGCCTGGGCCCTGAAGGCTCTGCCCTCCTCTATGGCTCAGTCCTCAGATAGGTTCACAGTTTGGTGGAACTCAGTAGGCAGGGCCAGGCTGGAGGAAGTAGGTCACGGCCAGGGGTAGGGAGAGCATGGCTTTGGCCTCCAGTCCCTTTCTGTCTGTTTGTCTCTGCTTCCCAACGCTTCCAGGAAGTGAAGAGCTCTCTTGCACCCCACTTTCTCCTCCATGATGCATGGCCTCACCTCAGTTCAAAGTAATGGACCCAGCTGGCCTCAGATCAAAATTCCTGACAACCTGGGACAAAATAAACCTTTCTTCCAACAAGTTGCTTTCCTCGTGCATTTTGTCAGCCCGGCAGATGTCACAGGAGGGTGCCATCAGCCTCATCGTAGAGATGTGGGCAGAGTCTTCCTGTTCCACAGCCTGCCTCCTGGCTGCTGTTCCGGGAGGGCACTCTCTACCTTCCCATGACCACACTGCTCCCCTGCACGGCCTCTGCTGGCCACTGCATGCTCGTGGAGGGAGCTCCCTGCTCCCCGGGTGTGTCAGGCCCGTGTACCAGCACTGTGGTCTGGTGTGTGCGCCCTGCCCAGCACTCCTGGCTGCAGGAAGCTCACATTCCTACTGGGAAGGGAGGGGGAAGGTTGTCATTTGTTTCTTGTGTCTCTCTGGCTATCCTGCCATATAATTTGGGACACTCCTGTGAAGAACAGTGTCAGAGGTGAAAGGGCCTAAGAAGTCACGTGGTCGGAACCTTCATTTTAGAGCTGGCAGGGAGGCGGGCCAGGGTGAGAGACGAGTGGGATGGCTTAGTTAAGTTCACTGGCATCTATCCGAGCTCTTGCTTAGGCCCAAAGCTTGCTTCCCCACACACGAGTTTGGCTAGCTGCCCTGTGCCAACCTTTTGCTCTCCCACCTCAGACATGATGACAGGTGATGTCTCCACAGGCTCAGGACCGTGAGTTAGATAAATAGGAAGGGAAGCCAGAGCGTGGGGCTCCCAAAGCCCCTATTCACACCCCTCATGCTCATGCCTGGCTGTCTGAAGTGTCTCTGTGGAACCCTGGAGGCAGAGTGGCGCCTCTGAGCGGGGTCTGGTGTGGGGTGCTGCAGTACTGGACACAGCCACAAGGTGGCAGACGCTGCACATTCTTCTTGGGAGAAAGGCTGCCGCATTTCAGGGGCAAACCCTGAGAAGGGAAGGAGGGGGTTTCCTCCCCTTGGTGCTACCTCCACTGCAGGTCAGGGCCAGATTAGAAACAGCAGTGAATCTGCGGCAATAAGCCACTAGCTGTCAAATGGCCTTTTCACTTGATGTTTCCCTGTTTATCTTTCTTCAGAGGCCAGAGAATGTTCACAGGTGCTAAGGGGCCAGGAGTGAACAGGACAGTGGGAGGGACCGACCAAGGAGCAGAGCAGAACGATGTGACCACACCGGGCAGGTGGAGGCAACCAGCGGCTCCTGGAGAGGCCACCTGCCTCCACTCAGGCAGGAGGATGGCAGCTTGTGAAGTGTAGAGGGAAAGAACGCCCCGGTTCTAACGCTGGGATACCGCAGCAGTTCAGATGTTCCTGCCTCTGCTTCCCAAGCCCTGGGGTTAAAGGTGAGCATCACCAAGCCAAGCCCAGCTGCATTCATTAATTCATTTTTGAGGCAGGGCTTCACTGTGTAGCCCTGGTGTTTGCTGTTGTTGACTTTATTTGTTTTGTTTTGTTTTTTATATTGTACGGTGGCAAAACATTTTTATTTTTTTAAATATTTTTATTTTAATTTTTATTAGTTATACTTTATTCACTTTGTATCTCCCCGTAGCCCCTTTCCTCCTCCCCTCCGAGTCCCACCCTCCCTCCCCCTTCTCCACCCATATCCCTCCCTGAGTCCACTGATAGAAGAGGTCCTCCTCCCCTTTCTTCTGATCCTAGTTTATCAGATCTCATCAGGAGTGGCTGCATTGTCTCTCTCTGTGGCCTGGTAAGGCTGCTTTCCCCTCAGGGGGAGGTAATCAAAGAGCAGGCCAATCAGTTCATGTCAGAGACAGTCCCTGTTCCCATTACTATGGAACCCACTTGGACACTGAATTGCCATGGGCTACATCTGTGCAGGGGTTCTAGGTTATCTCCATCAATGGTCCTTGGTTGGAGTATCAGTCTCAGAAAAGACCCCTGGGCCCAGATTTTTTTGTTCTGTTGCTCTCCTTGTGGGGCTCCTGTCCTCTCCAGGTCTTACTATTTCCCACTTCTTTCATAAGATTCCCTGCACTCTTCCCAAAGGTTAGCCATAAGTCTCAGCATCTGCTCTGATATCCTGCAGGGTAGAGCCTTTCAGAGGGCCTCTGTGGCAAGCTCCTGCCTTGTACCCTGTTTTCTCCTTCTTCTGATGTCCATCCTCTTTGCCTTTCTGAATGGGGATTGAGCATTTTACCTGAGTCCTCCAGTCCTCCTTCTTGATTAGTTTCTTTAGGTGTACAGATTTTAGTAGGTTTATCCTATTATTATACGTCTAATATCCACTTATGAATGAGTATATACCTTGTGTATCTTTCTGCTTCTGGGATACCTCACTCAGGATGATCTTTCCCAGTTCCCCAAATTTACCTGCAAATTTTATGATTTCCTTGTTTTTTTATTGCTGAGCAATATTTCATTGTGTAGACTACCACAATTTCTGTATCCATTCCTCAGTTGAGGGGCATCTGGGTTGTTTCCAGCTTCTGGCTATTACAAATAAAGCTGCTACAAACATGGTTGAGCAAATGTCCTTATTATGTACTTGAGCATCTTTTAGATAGATGCCTAGAAGTGGGATAGCTGTATCTTGAGGAAGCACGATTCCTAATTTTCTGATAAAATGCTAGATTGATTTCCAGAGTAGTTGTACAAGTTTGTATTCCCACCAGCAGTGGAGGAGGGTTCCCCTTTCTCCACACCCTCTCCAGCATGTGTTATCGCTTGAGTTTTTTATTTTAGCCATTCTGATGGGTGTAAGGTGAAATCTCAGGGTTGTTTTGATTTGCATTTCCCTTATGACTAAGGGCGATGAGCATTTTTAAAGTGTTTTTAGAGCATTCGATATTCCTCAATTGAGAGTTCTCTGTTTCGTTCCGTACCCCATTTTTTAATTGGATTACTTGATTTGTTGCTGTTTAACTTCTTGAGTTCTTTATATATACTGGCTATTAGCCCTCTGTCAGATATAGGTGAAGATCCTTTTCTAATCTGTAGGCTGCCGTTTTGTTCTGACAACAGTGTCCTTTGTTTTACAAAAGCTTTTCAGTTTCATGAGGTCCTATTTATTGGTTGTTGATCTTAGAGCCTGTGCTGTTGGTGTTCTGTTCAGGAAGTTGTCTCCTGTGCCAATGAGTTCAAGGCTCTTCCCCACTTTTTCTTCTACCAGGTTTAGTGTGTCTGGTTTTATGTTGAGGTCTTTGATCCACTTGGACTTTAGTTTCGTGCAGGGTTATAAGTATGGATCTATTTGCATTTTTCTACATTTAGACATCCAGTTAGACCAGCACTATTTGTTGAAGATGCTATCTTTATTCTATTGAAAGGTTTTGGCATCTTCGTCAAAAATCAGGTATCCATAAGTGTGTGGATTTATGTCAGGGTCTTTGATTCCATTGATCCACCATTCTGTTTCTATGCCAGTACCATGCAGTTTTTATTACTGTTGCTCTATAGTACAGCTTGAAATCAGGGATGGAGATACCTCCTGAAGATCTTTTACTGTAGAGAATTGTTTTAGCAATTCTGGGTTTCTTGTTATTCCATATGAAGTTGAGAATTTTTCTTTCCAGGTCTGTAAAGAATTGTGTGGGTAATTTGATGGGGTTTGTCTTGTTTTTTAAAGCTGGCTGGGTCAGCTATTTTTTTTTTTACCATGGTCTATAAAGTGTCCTGTGTATATTTGGCTGCAGGTCTTTTATGAGACATGTGCTTTGCAAATATCCTCTGGTTTCTGCACATTTCTTTTTTAAAAAATATGTTTCCAGAATAATTTTTTCTATTAATTACAGTTTATTCACTTTGTATCCCCCCTGTAGCTCCCTCCTTCCTTTCCTCCCAATCTCACCCTCCTTCCCCCTTCTCCACCCATGTCCCTCTTCAAGTCCACTGATAGGGGAGGTCTTCCTCCCCTTTCTTCTGATCCTAGTCTATCAGGTCTCATCATGAGTGGCTGCATTGTCTCCCTCTGTGGCCTGGTAAGGCTGCTTCCCCCTCAGGGGGAGGTAATCAAAGAGCAGGCCAATCAGTTCATGTCAGAGGCAGTCCCTGTTCCCATTACTATGGAACCCACTTGGACCCTGAACTGCCATGGGCTACATCTGTACAAGGGTTCTAGGTTATCTCCATCAATGGTCCTTGGTTGGAGTATCAGTCTCAGAAAAGACCCCTGTCCCCAGATTTTTAGGATCTGTTGCTTTCCTTGTGGAGCTCCTGTCCTCTCCAGGTCTTACTATCTCCCCCTTCTTTCATAAGATTCCATGAACTCCGCCCAAAGTTTGTCTTCACATTTCTTTTTCTTAACATAGTCCTTTTATTTTTTAATTTTCATTTTATTAATTCATTTACTGTGTGGGAGTGTGTTTGCATGAGTGTACGCACATGTTTGTTCAAGGATGCCTGTGGAAGTCAGAGGGTGACACTGGATCCCTTGGAACTGGAGTTAGAGGTGCATGTGAACAGCCCAGGCTGCAGTCCGCAGGCCAGGCCAGGAAGGGCTTTCAACTGCTCAGCCATCTCTCCAGCCCAACAGAATCCCTTATATTTTTAATAAAGTTCAATTTACTGTTTTTTTCCCATGAATTTGCTGATTTTTAAAGCATTCAGACACCCAACAGCACACACCCCACCAGCTGTTGCCCTGTGGGCACTGTTCCCTGAAGCGGAGTGCCAGGGAAGCCCTGGCTCTAAGGCCAGCAGGCATGCATCTGGGAGGCCCCGGGGAATGTCAGCAGAAGTGTTCTTGTTTTCTAGGTAAGATTTTTTTTTAAATTAAAGATACTAATTTTTAATTACATGTGTGTGCCCACAGAAGCCAGAAGTGAGGGCTCCCCCTGGAGCCAGTGTTACAAGTGGGGGGTTGTGAAAGGCCTGGGATGGATATTTAGAGCCAAGCTCAGGTGCTCTGTGGGAGCAACAAGTCCTGGCTAGGTATTTTGTAGAATGCCCTTTGGCTGGAATTTGTGTGACATTTCTCTCAGGCTCCTACTGGTACTGTCTGGCACGTTTAAAATGTGTATGTGTGTGTGTGTGTGTGTGACACAGTATGCGTGTGACACAGTATGTGTGTGACACAGTATGTGTGTGAGGGTCACAGAGTCACCTCCAACCCGCAGGAGGTGACTTTGTCCTTCCGCCACACGAGTCCTTGGAATCAAATTCAGGTTGTCACAAGGTTTTGTGGCAATCCCCTTACCCACTGAGCAGCATTGCCTGCCTCTGGCATTTTAGTTTTGTTTATTATTTTAATTTTTAGAACTATTTATTTATTGACTTTTGAGTGTGAGTGTTTGGCCTGAATGTATGTACGTGCCCTGCGTGCATGTGTGTTGCTGTCGGAGACCAGAAAAAAACATTAGATCCCCTAGAACTGGACTGACAGACGGCTGTGGGTACTGGGAACCAAACCTGGGTCCTCTGTAAGAGCAGCAAGCGCTCTTGATCTTTGGGACATCACTCCTGCTCCCTGGTATCTTTTACAAAAGCTTCATTTCGACCTTCCAACATGGGATCTTGGTGTCCTTCAACCCAGAGGTTTGATGGCTCCTTGATGGCAGATGGGTGCCCCACACTGTCCCAGCCTCTGGCCTGTCGGGGCTGGGTCTGAGGTGAATGGCAGGAGGTGTGGCTCAGAGAGACTCTGTCATCTGTATTGGGTGATTAGTAAGACACCGGAGCATGGTGTGCCGAGACATGCTGTCCCTACCGGAGCTCTCCACCACTGAGAGAAGCAGATGGTGTCAGATGCGTTGGAGCTGGGGTTACAGGCGTGTGCAACCTATGCTGCCTGATGGGAGGCTGTTCACGCCTTGCCCATTTATCTCCTGAAGCTGCTCTGGGACAGGGGACAGTAATACTCTTGTCATAACTCCCTGAGTCCTGGTGGATTGAGTGCTCTCTAGGCTCCTCCTTCCCAAACACTCCTCCCAGGCCACGCCCCCTCCTGCTCATACCAACCCCTTCTTTCTCCTTAGGTGGCAGGACCAGCCTCACACCTTTGGACGGTTTTCTCCTGTTACCATGTGTGGTGGGTGTACGAGCTTGGCTGTCAGTGTCTAGCTGGGGGTGCAGTCAAGAGCGCTTAGAAGACACGCCTGACAGGGGCCTGGAACCAACTAAACAGCAAAGGCAATGCATTCTCCATCTCCACGTAGCCTCTAGGAGTGGGCAGGGTGCCTTTCTTGGGTACCCTGATACCAGCTGGCGATTCTGTCCTGACCTTTTCTTGGAGAGACGCTGTGTCTGGTCTTCCTGGGTACATGGCTTCATACTCCCTTGGGGGTTCGTGGCTGGGGGGTTTACCTGTTGGACAAAGGAGGGATTTTGTAAGTTAGTTTAAGTCTAATGCCGTGGTATAATGTTCTCGGCGTAGCTCTTGTCCTCGATCCCCCGGGCTGGCTAGGCAAATGCTCTACCACTGAGCTGCATCCTCAACCCCTGAATGTCATTCTTTAAAACACATCTTTTCCTTGAAAATGTTTTTCTTTATATTGTGACTCTGGGGCCAGAAGAGGGTGTTAGAGCCCATGGAGTTGCGATTACAGGCACTTGTGTGTTTGCGTGCTGGGAACCTAACTCTGGTCCTTTGGAAGAGCAGGAAGTGCTCCTAACCACTAAGCCATCTCTCCGGCCTTTTGATGTCATTCTTAAGGGGGGTGGGGAAGCTGATTATAGAAGTCAGTATATGACAAAAATAAATCCAAACATAGTTATGACCCAAGTTTTGTTCATCAAAACACTGCCTGTGGATGGGGCCATTGTTAATAGAGTCTGGATTATTCTCCGTGTCCTCCAGTTTTCCAAGTGGAGCATACATCATGTACTGTTTTCAGGTAGAGGGAGGTGAGCATGGCATTACCGGTCAACTCTCAGAAATCCTTCCTGGGTGTGTACCTCTCCTTATCCCTGAGGTCCTCTGAGGGAGCAATGGAGCACTCCCCAGAGAGTTCACCTCTGCCATGTGGCTCAGGAATGCTGCCATGTCTCCAGAGGCAGTGCTGCGGTTAGCAGCGACTGCGAGGCCCCAGAACACCCTGCCAGACCCCCCCCCCCCAGGACACCCTGAAAGCCTCCAAGAACACCCTGCCACTCTCTCAGGACACCCTGACAGTCTCCCAGAGCACCCTGCCAGCCTGTCTCCCAGAACACCCTGCCAGCCTTCCAGAACCCACAGGCACAATAGGCTTGCAAGGAGCTGCTGCCAGGTGTCCTGTTGGCTTCCTGCCTCTCTGGAAAGCACCGTAGAACACTCATCACCTCCCGTGTTCCACCTCAGTCCACCGAGGAGACTTTTATAGGGTGGCCTAGGAAAGTGCCCACAGCTGTGTGGCATCGGCTTCCCAGTGGCAGCTTATTCGTCATCTCTGCTATCATCTGGCCTCTCTTGTTTTGGTCACAATACCCTGGGTGGCAGGATATTGGCTTTGGCTTTCACTGTCTGTATAACTAACGAGCGATAGGAATCTGCCAGCCTTGTCGGGTAACCTTCCATGACCCTCGTCTATTGTCTAGTGTTGAGCTCCCCTGGGCACCTGCTGACGGCCTCACTCCCAGATGAACGCACTAGGAGCAGTGTTGGAGCCAGAGTCCCAGCAGAAGCCAGGGTCACTGTGGACATACATGGAGACCAATTACATCTTTATTCTCCCTGACTTCTACCTGAGGTTAAGAAATGATATCAACCGCACAGCGATACCAACAGTCCCTGTGACTTTGCTACCAACCAAACGCATTATCACATCGTCATAGCTGGGACAGAGAGAGAGATGCTGTGTTCACTGTGACTCTGAAATCACACTGATGCTGCTAATACTTCCCTGGTAACCACAACCTAAGTCTTATTAATATATCTACAAAAGAACGTGCAGATTTTGTTACATAGCTTTTTAAAAAAATTATTTTGATGGCTGTATTTCAGCCTACTTAATGTTCTTTATTTTCCATGTATTTAATTTTAATGAACTAATTTTTTATTGAGCTGTCATATGGTCACTTGTAATGCATGAATTTATTATTTATTTGATTTCTTTAATTCATTAATCAATGTGTGTGTGTGTGTGTGTGTACAACTTGTGGGAGCTGGTTTTCTCCTGGAACTATGCGGGGCCCAGGCACCAAACATCATCACCCGCCTCCTCCCTCTTCTTGCTCTCCTGTCACATATGTGTACTGAAGCCTAAGTTGTACATATGAGAGACACATGCAGTGTTTATCTCCCCACGTCTAACTTATTGAGCCTAGTGCAGGCATCTCCAGCTCCATCTGTCTTCCTCCAGAGGTGAGGTGAGGATGTCGCTCTTCTTCCTGGCTGACTAGAGCTCCACTGCACGTATGTGCCACATGTGACTTCCAATCTGGTGACGGACACCCACACTGGCTATTGTGAACAGTACCGCAATGAGTACAGGTGTGTACATGTTCCTGGGCTGTGCTCAGACTCCTCAGAGACCTATCCAGGAATGGCACATCTGGGTCATGGTGTTGTGATTGCTGTCTGTTGATGAACCATAATACTGATTTCTATAGTATATAAACAAATTCTTTCTGAGCGAGATCTTGTCTATGTTGCCCAGGCTGGTCTTGAACTCACAGTTTTCTTACCTCTCTGCCTCTTAAGTGCTGTGTTTGCAAGTATGTGTCACTATGGCCAGAAGTAATGCACTGCCAGTGCTTGGACGGGTGTCCTTGGTCATGTATCCTTTCTGTCTCTCAGTTTTATTGTCCTTAAAGTGAGGGGTGAACCTGGGAGAGACTCTCCAAGGGTCATGACACACTGTGACCTCCTCACTTCCATCTGCCCTATCTGAGGGGCCGCATAGGGCAAACAAGAAACTGGGGTTTTTGCTCCTGCTTCCTGGCAGGTTATTTTAGCCTTCACAACATCACAGAGACCTTCTAGGGATTTGTATGGGAACTATGTAAAGATCATCTACAGATATGTCTTCCATGAAGAACCAGAAACTATCTAAATATTCAAGAATAGATTGACTAAATTATCTAAAGTATATTCACATGATGGAACAGTGACAGCTGGAAATAACATCACGGAATTATGATATGAAAAAAGCAGTTGTTCTAAACAGTTAAAAACACAGGGTGTAGCTCTGTGGACGCCACTTGCCTAGTATGCTTGAGATTCTGGGCTTGAGTCCCAGTACCACAAGCCATAAACCAAGCAACCAAGCAACCAAGCAACCAATCTCTCTCTCTCTCTCTCTCTTTCTCTCTCTCTCTCTCTCTCTCTCTCTCTCTCTCACACACACACACACACACACACACACGCTTCATCAAGTGATTAAAAACTCCAAAGAGATATATATGCAGCAAAAGCAGAGATAGCATAGGCCAACCTGGTTCTCCTTAAGTGGTAAAATAAAAATGATTTCTGTTTTCTTCTTCATGTTTTCTAGAATTTCTAGAACTCACATGCAGGGACAACCAGGGATGGTGGCACCCACTATTAATACCAGAACTCAGGAGGCAGAGGCATGTATGTCTTTGAGTTCAAGGCCGGCCTGGTCTACATGGAAAGACTCTGCCTCAAAGAAAGAAAGAAAGAAAAAGTAAGGGATACAGGAGAGAGAGAGAGAGAGAGAGAGAGAGAGAAAGGATGGATGTCAAATAAAATCTCTGTAAGTATCTTAGATGAAGCAACAGAGATACCATCATTGTTTTTGAGTTCCTCCCTGGTCAGGCTACCTAAGGCCCTGGGGCCAGGAGACTCCCAATCTTGGGTTCCTGTCACTCAGCTGAGCACTGGCTTCTTAGCCAGGGCCAGCGCCAGTGCATACAGGCCTGAAGTTTGAAGCTTGTCCCCCACAGCGTACCTCCAGGCTGGTGGCCTCCTCTGCCCACCAGGCTTCGAACTCTTTCTGCAGCTTGACCTTGGCTTTGTCCATGAGCAGTTGTAGGTGCTCTATCTCCACCTTCAGGGCTTTCAGGCGCGTGAATGTCATTTTGTACCTGTGGTGGGACCAGAGAAGCTGTAGCCTGCTCACGCCCTGAAGTTGCCAGCACAGCGTGGGGGAGTGTGAGGCTTTAAGTGAAGACAACCTGTGCCTCAGAGGCCTGACAGAGCCCTGCTGCTTGGAAGGGAGATCCGCCAGGAGGCTGCCAAGGCTAGAGCATGACTCTAAGTGTTGAGACCAGCAGAGAGCTCAGACTGGGTCGTCTTTCATTCAGGGGGCACGTGGGGATCCCCTCCAAGAACAAGAACTCCTTTTCATCGGATGTGTACTGAGAAGAAGTGTGACAGTTGCTCTTCAACGTCAACTTGGCGAGATTGTGAGTCACCTATAGGAGATGGATCTCTGCAAGCAGCCGTGAGGCTGTTTCCAGAGCGCTTTAACCGAGCGGGGCTGACGCACCCCGAACACAGGCAGCACCGGCACAGGGACTTGAACTGAATACAGGGCAAGTTGAGCGCCGGCATCCATCCATCTTTGCTCTCCGGCTACAGAGTGTGTCACCAGCAGCCCTGTGTTCCTGCCCGTGCCTTCCCTGCCCTGACGGATGGTACCTTCAGACTGTGAGCAGAAATGAACTCTTTCCTTAGCTGCATCTGCAGCTGGTGTTCATAGCAGTGAGAGAGTCAACTAATACGAGGGGTGGAAGGACAACTGGGGACAATGCGAAGAGCGCTGCCAGATGGCACACAGGTTTGGGAGGCAACAGCACTTGGGTTTTTGCTGTGAAGCTGTGAGGGAGTGGGGCGCTGGGTACTGTCATTGCTCGTGTCTGTGTGTGTGTGTGTCTGGGTGTATGTTTGTGTGCGTGTGTGTATGTATCTGTATATGTGTGTGTCTGTGTGTATCTGTGTGTATGTGTGTCTCTCTGTGTGTTTCTATGTATGTGTCTGTATGTATGTGTCTCTGTGTGTGTGGTGTGTGTGTCTGTGTGCCTCTGTGTGTGTGGTATCTATGTGTTTCTCTCTGTGTGTGTGGTGTGTGTATGTATCTGTATATATGTGTGTCTGTGTGTATCTCTGTGTGTTTCTGTGTATGTGTCTGTATGTGTGTCTCTGTGGTGTGTGTGTGTGTGTGTGTGTGTACTGGGGAGGTTGCAGTCATGCCATCAGTAACTTGAAGCCCTGTTTTGGACCTCCAGATCCCAGCCCTGGCATGGAGAATAAATGAAAGAGCTGCGCTGCCTGACCAGGAAGCCTGCACTTCCTCACCCTGTAAGTAAAATGACCCCCACCGCTGTGATAGCTGGGTGAAGGTCTGAGGTTTTTCAAGACCCAGGGTAAACTTTGGTAAAGCTGTGGAGTCAGGCCCACCATGGGCCTGCTTCTTGGTCCCCCTAGAGCAGTGGCTCTCAACCTTCCTGGTGTGGGGACCGTTTAATACAGCTCCTCGTGTTGTGGTGACCCCCAACCATAAGATCATTTCCTTGATACTTCATAATCGTAATTTTGCTGCTGTTATGGATCATGAAGTAAATATGTCCAACATGTGACCCTTGCGAGGGTCGCGACCCACAGATTGAGAACCACTTGGCAGCCAGGATGGGACACTTGAGCACCCTCCCTTCCCAGGCCTCAGCCTTGCTTAAAGCCACGCCTCCCCTCTTCTGCTGTCTGAGGTTCCAGGCCAGACCCATTTCCTAAGAAAAGTTAAGAGCCTGGGGGCTCCAAGCAGTCCTGGAGGCCCTGGAGGCCCTTTGAGGTTGAGTCAGAGTGTGGTTCGGCAACAAACAAATGAAAACAGCTGACGTAACCCTACAGCTCACCTGCTCTTCTCCTCCTCCAGCTGCGCTCGCAGTTTCTCTTCCTGGGGGTCAGGCATGGCCGGTGTGACCACGTTCCGTGAGAGTCCTGGAGGAACAAGATGCCAGAGGGTTACAGTGACAAAGAAAGGCAGAAGGAAAAATGTGACAGGGCCAGTAACAGAGTTCAAGGGCATTCAAAGACGAAAGAGTCTCGGGAGTTCCTCTGGGGGCCTCTGGGTGGCAGCCTCAGCTTGGCTTCAGAATCACCCTCCTGTGTTCCTCTCAGCCCTGCTGTCTGTCAGTGGAGGGGATCTCCCCTCTCCATTCCTCTTCCCTGCACCCCTGTCTCCTGGGGTCCACAGGGAAGAGGCAAACCGCAATTCCGGGTTGGAGAAAGAGTCCTTCCCAGACCAAGAGCAGAGCCTGGCTCAGACTGCCCGCACAGCTGTGTCTGCACCGCTGAGCAACTCCACAGGCTCAGCACCCAGATTCTCCATCTCCACCCACATCAGGCTGAGGCTTTAGGCTGATCAATGGAGAAGGCAGGAATCTGCATCCTTTGTCATCAGAAACAGGACCAATGGCGATGCCTGGAGGAGGCCTGAGCTCTTCAGCGGGACTCACTGGTGGCTGTGACCTGGGCTGGCTGCTGACCCCCTATGTGTGGGTACCTGGCTGTAGGCTGGGGAGCCCCTCCCAGATCCTTTGCTAAACTTCTCAACCTCTTGGGGAGTCTGCAAGTATGGTGGAGCCACAAGGCCCTGCAGAGCCAGGGTCTCTCCCTCCCCCACTTCTCACCCCCCTTCCCCAGCACTACCTCCCTGCTGCACAGAATGAAGGCCTCCCCCTACTCTCCTGCTCTACCTCCTCCTGCTCCCTACCCTACCGCTGCCCTCAACACATGCCTCCCCCTGCGCAGAGTGAAGACCTCCCTCCACCTCCCCCCCACTCCTCCTGCTCTTTGCCCCATCACCCCTGCCCCCAGCGCATGCCCCTCCCCTGCCTCCCTGCCACCTCCCTCATCCCTGCCCCCAGCCCGTGCACTTTCTGAATAAGAACAGACGAAATCCTGATGGCAATTATTTGAGGCAAGCATCACTCTTGCATTATCGAGGAGGCTTAGGGGGGTTAATTTGCCAAGTCCTGTGGCTAAGTCCCCAATCCTGGGTGCAGATCCCCGTTTGTTTGGTAGCAAGGGTCCTGGATTCAAAACTCCTGGTAGAACACTTTGTTTTCTATTCATTTATTATTACGTGTGTGGGAGGTGCATTTGCGTCATGACATGCATATAAAGGCGGGGGACAATTCTGTGGGGACTGTTCTCTCCACCGCTTCCACCCGGGTTCCAGGGATCCAACTGAGACCTGGGTACCAAAGGCTTCACCCACTGAGCCATCTCACCAACTCCAAGGTTTCTGAGGGATGACCACTAGCTTTGTGTCCACAGACTTGAGGGATGACCGTTAGTTTTCTGTCCACGGACTCGCAGAGGCTGGCAGCTCGGTGCTGTGCAGGAGAACACCTTTCACGGGCCGCAGCTATTTCCACGAGCTTTGAGCAGAGACTGTCCCCGCTAATGTCCTCTTTCATCTCCACACAGGCGCTTTGGAGCAGCACTGAACGTCTTTTCTATTGTGTGGGTCCTTTAAATATTCAGCAGCACCACTACAGGAGACTGGAGTCTCATTCGCAGGCTGACTTGCCCAGGTCTTTGTGTGTGGGTTCAGCGACCTTATTATTGCCTAATTATCTCATTTAAAAAAGCAGAGAGCTGGTATAATATCTAATCTAGGGCGAGAGGTGCAGGGTGGAAAAGGGCTCCTTCCAGCTTTTAAATATATACTTTCAGGCCAGGGAGATAGCTCAGTGGGGAAAGCACTTGGCATGAACCTCGAGAGGACCTGAGTGTGAATTGCCCGGACCCCTGGAAAGCTGGGTGCAGTGGGGTGCATCAGTAGTCCCAGTGCTCCTGGGCAATATGGGAGCTGAAGATGGGAGAGTGGCTGGTGGCTCACTGTCCAGCTAGCCTGGCACCCACAGCAGCGAACAAAAAGAGGGACCTTGTCTCCAATGAGGTGGAAAGAAAGGACACTCAAGTTTGTTCTCCAACCTCCATTAGTATACTGGGCATGTACCTACACACACCCACATAAAGCACACAAGTGGGCGCACACACACACACACACACACACACACACACACACACACAGTGTTCTCAGTTGGACACATGTTGGCTCTCATGTGTATGTGCATTCTCAGATGGACATGGTGGCACACCCTTGTAATCCCATCACTTGGAGGCTGAGGCAGGAGGACTAAAAGTTCGAGGCCATCCTGGGCTACATTTATTGACTGCCCTCTCTCTGAAATGCTGAGCCAGGTTCGCTAGGCACATGACTAGATCCTCTAGGCACAGCAAAGTCCCCAGACTAACCACGCAGGGCAGGAATGGCCACCTCATTGCAGTCAGACTTCTTGTTCATAAATAAGCGCAAGTTTTTGTCCTGGTTCCAAGGAGCTGGCTGTTTGTACCGGCTCTCTCCATCCAGGCCTGTAGGCCCTGTGCTAAGCCTGTGGTTGGTTGAAAGCCTTTCATGCTTTTTATAAAGTGGCTGTCCCAACGTATCCTGTCTCAGCTGGCTGACCCTTTGATCCCATCTCCAGCACTTCCCACACCGGGAGTCTGGGCTGCAGAGAGGTCCTCCACCTGCCAAGTTATTACTCTCTTCTTTTCCTCTTTACCACTTTATTGACACATGGACACCTATGCTAAGTGGTCACTAGTCTGTCTTTTATCTTTGTGGAACCAATTACCCTCTCCTCCTTGCGCTAAGTAAGCAGATACTGCCTGTCATCTCAGCTGAAGATGACACTGGCAGACTGTGGGAACATTTCATCAGCTTTATGAGGCTGAATGCTGGTCTTCATTACCCAGGATCCTCCCTGACCTCCAAGTCACAGGTGCACGGAGCCTCGGAGTTGGGAAGTGGAGCCCTTCTGTTGTCTGCATCTTTCCCTGGAGCCTTGTTTAGAGGCTGTGTACAGGGCACACTGGATTCCACGTTTATTTGATGGCCCTCTCTCTCTGAAAAATGGCAGGTGTGAAACGGGGAAGGTGGCATTTAACACCAAATGACAGTGGGCCTTTAAATGGCCAAGACACTGCCTTCCCTAGAATTCCACAGACACCCTGTCTTGCAGCCTGCTGACACGGAACTCTGCCTCATCTCCCCTCTTTCAACACCTTTGGACCCGCACCAAGGGCACACAAGGGATTCAGTGACAGCCTGCTCTTGGGTGATGGCTGGGGTATCAGAACCAGCAGAGGGGCTGTGGGAGGAGGGTGGACGAAGGGCTCTGGTGGACTGACGACTGTGAGGGTAAGAGGAGATGAAGGGGACTGAGTCCCAACATGCATTCACAGCCTTACCCTACAGTACGGTGTGTGTGTGGTGGTTTCTATAGGTGCGCTGCATGTGTGTGGGATGTCCAGGCGCTGTAGGTTAGAGGGAGCATTTTCAATGCATCTGACACAGAATAGAGGGTGATATCAGCTACCTCTGGTGCAGTTGTGGGGTCTAGAGCAATGTGTGCCCTGTCATCACATCCACTCTGGACCAAGGGTCAGCAGGCTAGGGGAAGTGTACAATGCCATGGGGCTACCTAGGAGCTCTGGCCCTTCCTTCATTTGCTTAACAAATGTTTATGTATTGTTAGTGTGTGTGTGTGTGTGTGTGTGTGTGTGTGTGTGTGTGTTTTCGAGAGCATATGTGTGGAGGTCAGAGGGCAACATTGTGGAATCAATTCTCTCAGGTGGTCAGACTTGAACCTCAATCAACAACAACAACAAAATTAGATCTACAACATAGTACAGTAGGTTGAAAGATAGAGCTGAATGAAAATGCTGAGAGTGTGGAGGGCTGCCGTGGGTGGCCTTTGGGACAGGGGACAACAGGACAGAGATTTGCAGAAATAAGGGGACTGAGAGACATGTGAAGGTCTCAAGGCATCAGCTGTTTGGGGCCTATGAGGAGCTACGAGAAGGCCTGTGAGCTTGGAGGAGTTGGTGAGGCAAAGAACAGTAGGAGCTGACTGATGTCAGAGAGGAAACTGAGGCAGAGTGTGTTTTAGGTCCCTTTAGGACTGTGAGACGCTGAGGGGATAACAGCAGGGGTGGGGGTGGGGAGGAGGTGTGGCTTGATCTAGTCCTTTGTGATTGATCTGAAACAAAAGTTATTCAGCAATGAAGCAAATGTGGGACGGTGCCAGGGTTCTCTAAGCTTGCTGAAAGGGAAAGAGGGCTGGGACAAGGGACCTGGGGCAGCTGGCAGCTGAAGGCACAGCTACCCACAATGTCCCAGATGGGCTGGCGGCCAAAGGTGATGCTTGTTTTGTAGACTGCACAGTGACCCACCAGGAGACAGGAGCCAGCTCTGTGAAGAGGAGCCTGGGCTGAGAAGTCAAAGGGAGGCAAGTGAAAACAGATGAGCAAGGACAGGGGGAGAAGAGAAAGGGGACTTGGGCTTGTGGGTCTTTGTTCCCAGTGGTACCCTTGCCATGGGCAGAAGCCCCGATCACCTGACAGGAGGCACAGGGGGAGCCATCCTTTCAAAGACAGGATTCTGTCTGGAACAGCAGCCCAGCAGGGGTTAGCCTGTGAGGTCACTATCATGAAGAGCCAGCTCCAAAGCAACATAAAACAGCAAGAAGAAAGGGTTTAATTTTCCTCTGGTGGATGTCACACAAGGAGAAAGCCCCAAGAAGCTGGGTAGCAAACATCAAATCAGGAAGCCAGAGGTTGGGGCACTCAATCCCGGCATTGCTGGGGTGACCTGCCAAGACGTGGACCCTTCTGTGTAACTTGTTCTACTGTGGAGGTCTCTAGCTCCCCTTTCTCCTTCTCCCCGCTCCTCCCATTCCACACTCTACAGTTAGCTGATGCCTGAACTGTACCAAATCTCATTTCTCTGGTTCGGTGGCTCTCGACTGGGGCGCTCATTGAAATCACTTATGGAGCTTGTCAGAGCACAGCGGCAGCTGGGCCCTGATCCAGACCCGCTGAGTTCAGATTTGTCGGCGTGGTGCATGAAGATTCGGATGCCACCC